AGCAAAATCATTGGGGAAGCTGGCAGGGAAGATCACAAGTTGCTCTCATAAATCGCTCCTACTCCCACCGCTTTTTCTCCTGAGGAGCTCCAGTATGGAGCACAAGATCCCAGGGATTTTGTATCCCATAGCGTGCACTCACCCACAGCACTTCCCCAGCCATACTGGCACCGGGCTGTAGCACCCACTTGCCTAGCTGCACTTGCACTGGAATGCAGCATCCAATTGCGCACCTGGCTGCCACCCCACATCACCCCCACCCACCCCCTGCCCATCCCCACTTGTGATATAGCACTCCTACCCCCTGCCCAGCCACACTCCGTAGTACTCACCTGCCCGCTGGTGTGTTGTGAGCTGCCTAAGGAAAGGCCTGTTGTGAGCAGAACTTGCAACTTTCTGCCAGCTTCCCCATTGACTTTGCTTGTTGAAAGCCAGCAGGAAGTCACAAGTCACAGTCATGTGAGGTCCTCACTTAATGATGGCAATGGGGACTGCAGAGATTGCCATCACTAAGCGATGCAGTAACGTGACATTGCACTTAGCAACAGAAATTCCGGTCCCAATTACCATCGTAACCTGAGTACTTACCTGCCTATCCATGTATATTTACTCCTCTTTGTCTCAGTTGAATACCAATCCTGTACAGGTAATCCCCAGTTTAAGAATGAGTTCCATTCCTAAGGTCTGTCCTTAAGTCAAATTGGTATGTAAGCTGGAACATTATTATTGTATAATACTGTATAACTAGTATTGTGTAATGAACTTGAACCATTGTATACTTAACTCGAATCACTGTGTATTTAACTCAAATGTCACTACAGTAGGGTCCATTCTTAACTACTGGTCATCTGTAAACCAGGCGTTCTTAACCTGGGGACTACCTGTAAACTAAAGAGTTTCTAGACTACCTACTTAAACCTCTCTCTATTAATTATTCATGATATATTATTGGCTTAGAAAGAGGAGAAAATATGTTGTCTCCCAGGGCTATATCCATTAAGACTTTTCATTCCTCTCTTCCCTCTGTGCACTCCAAAAACCTAGAAGTTTGGAACAGTCCCCCAACCAATTCAATATGTAAGTGGCACCCACAGGGCTGATAGAAGAATGCTCACCATCAAATTGCAACCACAACTTTTCTTAGTTTGCTTTTAGAGATACCATATTAATGAAAACGATTCTGACTATAGAGGTGTAAAAGAGGATTCTCACATTGATAAAGTGGAAACAGAAATGGGCTAACTTTGCAGAAAAGAACCATTACACTGAAAACATGGGAAGAAAAAGCCAGAATCGAAGAGATTTGAATTACCCATGAATAGGATCCACGTTTGAAAACAAAGCCAGTTGCTAGAATGCTTATGTTTTCACTTCAACTTTTTTTCTAATACAATTAATCTGAGATCAGAAAATAATTGTTCCTTTACTTGTCCAGACCTGATTGTTGTATGAAGATCTGACAATATAAGCATCAATCTTTAAGTATTTTTTAAACTCACATATTCTCTGTTTTAGGGCAGAGGAAATTCTGCCTTTATTTTTCCTTTTTTTCCTGATGCTTATCTTTTTCCAATAAGCTCAACATAGATATAATAATCCTTCTTTTGGACAATGTCCATTGTTAAGAAAGTGTATAGCAAGCATCAGATTTATCCAGCTAAAAAAACATTTTCTAGTTAACTCTTTAAACATTAATTCTTATTTAAATTTAAATTAACTTACAGTTTAAAATAAACCCACAAAGTAATTGGCCTATGTCAGAAAAGGTATGATTTCTTGTTTGGTTTTACTTTCTAAAAGAATCCTTGGGGAATTGATAAAGAGCACCACACAATAGAAAAAGGGGATGTTTTCTTTTGCATATAAAGATAATGGCATTTTGGTGAGAATAAAAACTAGCATTTTTAAATAACTTTTACTTTCACAAAGCCTTGACTGTAGTGAAGGCTGTCTTTTAAAAATTGCAGTCTGTAATTGACTGTAAAAAAAGCTAAGAAGGAGACAAAAACCAGAACACTTCCCCTCCAGCAGCCAGGACCCAGATAAGCAGGGATTAACACCGGGCAAACAATCAAGCAGAAAAACAATACCCCAATCAAGGAGAAAACCACACCCCCACCAACATTGGCAGGACAAAGTACTGTATATAAACAGGGAGTAAACCTCACTCTCACTAGCACTGATGATGTTACCTAGTTGGATAATGAAACATCTGCAAGCAACCAGCCAAGCTCAGAGAGCACCAAGGACTCCTCAGTTCAACCTTGAGCTACAGATATTCTCTTCTGTTCTAACTGTAATAAAGTCAGGAGAATTTGGGCAGACTTCCAGCCTTGTAACTTTGGAAGATTTATGATATTAAATGGACTAATTGGCCTGCTGTCTTCTAAACAAAGTCTCCCCCTGATCTCGCTCTAGATATTTTGGGACTACAGTTCCCAGAACTCTAGGAGTTAGGATCCCAAGATCACTGGAGATCACCAATTTGAGGAAGTGTACTTTTAAGCTATGCTGTCTGTGGTTTTTATTTTCCATTTTACCTAGTTTTATATAGTTTTATATAGTTCAGGATTCTAATGCTTCTGGTACATGCATTACTATATTTACATTTGATCCTCCAGAAAGGAACTTTTCACATCCAAGGCTGGAGCTTTGAATGGAAACTTTTAAGTCTCTTGCTTATATAACCACATTCTTTGGTTAATCTGAACTGCTGAGGTAATGAGTTCTGTGACTTTCATATGTTCCTGAGATAGATCTTCACATATGTAAAACTGAATGTGATTGGAAACCTGACTCACCTCTCACAAAGAAAAAGTTTATCTAGATGCAGATGCTAAGAACTGCAATCCATACGAATGGCAATTCACTTTGTACAGTATTTAACTGTATCGTACCAATCTCACATTTGTGCATTTTTCAGAGAGTAATTTCAAATATTTCAAAACTAAGCTACAGCTGCTTCTCTTACCCAAGGACAATATGCACATGATGTGGTTAGTGTGTTACTTATATAACTTAAATGATGCCTGTAGATCTTTATGAATGTTTGTGCGCATAGCTGGATCTCTAAGTAGGATCAAGAGTTAGTATACCATAAACGGCAACAAGTCAAAGTTTTGAAACTGAAATCCCTAGCCTGTATCTTGTACACTGTGAATTCACCCTGAGTTTTCCTATGTCAGTTGTTCTTTCAGTTGTGTCTGACTCTTTGTAACCCAGTGACCATCATTTTGCCAGGATTCTGCATCAGTAATAACTTCCTTGAGTTCTTGTAAACATATGCTTGTGTCATCACTGATAGTATCTAGCCATCTTGTTTTATGTCAGCCTCTTTGAATTGCTTTTATTTTTCCAAACATCAAGGTCTTCTCCAATGACTTTCCATTGTGTGTGTAAAATATCAAAGCTTTAGCTTCATTAATGATGCTTGCAGTGAGCACTCTGGTTTTACATCATTTAGGACTGATTTATTTATTTAGACCATTCATGTAGCCACCCAAGGTGACTGTAGGCAGTGTACAGAGAATTTGTTCTTCTTGAACTCCAAGGTTCCTCAACAATTTTCTCTAGTACTACAATTCAGAGGCATCAATTTTTCATTGTTCAGTCTTTCTGATTACACAGATATATATTACACCTGGGAAAACTATGACCTTGACAACACACACTTATGTTGTCAGTGTTCTATCTCTGCTCTTTAATACTTTGTCTAGATCTATCATAGTTCTCCCATATAGTAGACATCCATTTATTTCATGGTTACAAACACCATCCCTGTGGTGTTTGTTTGTTTGTTTGTTTTTTGGAGACTAGGAAAAATAAAGTTTGTTACTATGTCAGCTTCCTCTCTGCCAACTTCCTCTGGGTTGTCATTGCCTGTTGACATTATCTTAATCTGTTCTTTGACCTTCAGCAAGAGATCCCTTAAGTCTTCTTCTCTTGTAATCATCAGACTGGTATCATCAGCCTATCTGAGCATCTCTGGAGGATCATAATTCTGATTTATTGGATTATAAAGATTATAAGGATTGCAGTATCATAACGCGAAGCACTTCAGATTTTTCAAGATGTTACATAGATGCTTTCTTGAACGTGATAACTTACTGAATGTCATCAGTACATCTGAATAGCTCCCTGTGAGTGTAATTCTCCAGACTTATTTTGTAGTATGTGGTAACACATGAGTTTTTATTACCATTGCTAGAGCATCAATTATCAGAGGCATTCTGGTGCAGTTTAGATTTTGAGATATATAGTAGAAGAGCTACTAGTGTTGGATGAAAACTGATCAGTCATGAAAGTCAGTAGGATTCTCTCAGCCTCATGTTGTTACTCCAAGCGTAAGTCAGGATATACCCATGTTTGCTACTCAAGCTTTTTGAATCAGGTCTGGGTATTAGCATGATAAATCAAATTGTTTGAAGTTGACAAAAGTGTTTGATTGTAACTGGGGTTATGGGAAGGCTTACTGCAAGCATTTGTTTAGAAACTCTTAACAGAAACACCCTTTACATGTACCTGGAGAGAGATGGCTGCTGTGCCTGTGTTAGTTTCTTTCACATTACTTTAGAAACAGTTGTGCATTCTCATAACTATCATCTGTTGTGTGGGAAGGAAAGTGTTGCTTGCATGATGTGTAAATACAAAAAGCGTGACCACATTGGAAGCAATGGCTGCTTCAACATCAACAATATCATTACAAGGATAGAGGCAGCCAAAGTTTGTCTGTCTGTCATTTGTTTGTTTGTCATTTGATAGTATTTATAATCTACCCCAATCCCAGAAGACTCTAGTATGTAATGAATACAAAGCTGCTCAAGATGGATGCTCACAACCAGGCAAATATGCATAAAAGTGTGATTTTCTCTTTCCATGCAACCCCAAAAGTACAGTATTGTAACAAAAGCAAATTATCCTGGAAATTTTAAGTACAGTGCGCCACATTGAGCATTAAAGGTGTCTTCGTTGTTTAATTTTCTTTTTTTCCTGTCCCGCAGGACCTGCAGAGGTACCCATGATGTCCCCCAATGGATCTATTCCTCCCATACATGTGCCTCCAGGTTATATTTCACAGGTATGCTTCTTCAGCAGGAGAATTTGGGATGGCCGGGTTGTGTGATTTCTACCATATTTGTGTAGCATTTCTGTAATTTCCCCCCTTTACTGTTAAAAAAACAGACAAATGCCAAGCTTCTAAAGCTGTAATCAAAGGCATGATGCGTGTGTATGTGGACAATGACTAGTTAAATCTAAAAAATACAGCAGATTTCATTCCCCTCAGTAACTTTTTGCCCTGTATCTAATTAGTAAAAGCTGGAGGGAAGGAATTTTGTGCTCACTGTAATATTACAGTTCACTGATTTATTTTTTTCAGACCATAAGAGAGATAATTTTGACACTAGTTTGTAAGCCAGGCATTTTTAATAATTCTATTTTGGCTTCTTTTATTGTGACAGTTCCTATTTTTACTCTGTCAGTTAAAATGTTCATAATGTCATATCTTGGGTTGAGTACCAGCTGCTTTTTCCACCTCAAGTTAATGCATTTCCATTGCAAAAATGGATAAGGATTTCGTTTATTGTTTTTCCTTTCTGTCTTTGTAGAGGAATCAAATACATTTTGTGACTGATTTCTAAACATTTCAATGTGTAGAGCAGAAGGACCTGAAATATTTTCTTAATAGCCTTGCCAGTCTCCAGCAAGTGACCAGGTATTTGTTAATCTGGGAACACAATCAGAGCTCTGCCTCTCTTAGTGAGACTCTCCCATTTCCATCTAGTAGGCCTTGTCAGCTTATTTTCTTTTAAGTGCACCAAGATGAGATAGTTATGGTCCTTCAGCTGTTGCTGAACTTGTGAAGGAATGTAATGCTGACCTTGGGGACAAGGAAGGAATGAGAGACACATTAAAGAGGGTGCAGGACAGATTACACGATTCTGAAAAAGAGAAAAGCATGAGAAAGAAACTCAAAATAATCTCACCTTGATTTTTATTTTATTTCATTTGATTTTTGGTATAATATGGAATAGCGAAAAACTTGATCAGGCTTTCAAGATTCTAGTATTCTACCTTACTACAATAAGGTACATTCCTGGAATCCCTGCCATACCTGTCTCTTGATCTGGCCTACCTCGGGGGCCAGCAATACCTCATCATTGACATGCTAGGTGGGCTACTGAAAATTCAACAACTTCTGGAAGCCTACAAGCTTGCACCTCCTCCCAGAAGTCAAGATGGCAGTGCAATCTAGTAGCCAGGTTCAGCAAGGGTCACTGAGCTGAGAACTCTTTGTTCATTTGTTTTTTAGGTAATTTATATGGCTGCCTATCTTAAATACATACTGTAACTCTGGCAGCTAACAACAATTGTCTCTCTCTCTCTCACACACACACACACACACACACACCACATGCACATTCAAAATCCATACAATAACCAAAGCACCGTAAGAGATTCACAACTCTATTGGGCCTTGTTAACATTCCCCCAATGCCTGGGGAAAGAGCCAGGTCTTCACAGCCTTCCAGACGTCAGGAGGATTGGGGTCCTTCAGATCTCAGCAGGATGCTGTTCCATAGGGCAAGCATCACAACAGAGAAGGCATGTAGTGAAATGCTACCAGAATAGCAAGTAGCTATTTATAAACAGCATTTATTCAAAAGTATATGAACTAAAAGTTCACAGACATGTCTTCTAACCATATGAGCTTTTTCAAGTCAAAGTTGCTGTATTCTTTTAAGTCAATAGATAATTCTTTACTTACTCTATGTTCATACTAGAGTATGTCCAAAAGAGCCAGATAAATGGCTCTGTACACAAGAACATCTTACTCTGCACAGTACTGTACCAACAACCTGGAGTAGGATTGTAACAGAAACAATAACAGTTACAGTGATGGGTTGTTTCTCAAGAGAACATGCCTTCCTACCACAGGTAGTCCTCAGCTTATGTTCATTCAGTGACTGTTCAAAGTTACGGCAGTGCTGAAAAAGTGGATATACAACCAGTCCCTGAAGTTCTGGCCATTGCAGCACCCCCACAGTCACACGATGCTTGGATGCCCAGCTCATGATTATGACATCGCAGGGAGTCTCAGTCATGTGATTGCCATTTGCAACCTTCTCTGCCGACTTCCCACAAGCAAAGTAAATGGGGAAGCCAGCAGCTGCACCATCACCTACCTGCAGTTTTCAACAGCTCTCCCAGGCCCTACCTAGCCTCCCCCAACTCATACCAGACCTCCCAAGCCTACCCCACCCACTCCACGGCACCCCCGCAATTCTTATCTGGGAGTCCCGCCATTTCCTGCTTAACAACCTGCGTGTCTTAGGGTTATGACAGCAACCAGGACTGCCAGGATTGCTGCCATTAAGCAATGCAGCAATCACATGACATTGTGCTTTATGACCACATCACTTAGTGATGGTAACCCCAGTCCCAATTGCCAGTGTAACCCAAGGACTACCTGTACTTAGCTTGATGAAGATCTTTAAGGATGAATATGGTAATCTTTTCTTCTATCTCATCCATATATAACTTTTCCAATTTCCAATTACTAATTTATTATGATGTTTTAAATTGGGTAGATTAATCTATGTACAGGACTGATTTAGTCATTTAGCAATGATATTGCTTGGTCTTATTTATTCATAATTCTGTTATGATAGTATCATACTTGACATTCATTTTTGATACTATATTTTAAAATATGCTTTATGAGGGCATTTATTTAATCAATCAATATTATGAAGACACCCAGTCAACATGCAACTCAGGGTGATGTACATGATTAAAAACAATAAATAGTAACAAAAAAGACATGAAAATATAGTAAAACCTATTGCACCACAGGCAACTTCACACACCTACATACACAGACACAAGCACTTACCTCTCCAAGCATTTTCAGTGATTGACCATTTTTAAAATAGTGTATTTATTTGCTGCTTTATTAAATTTTTGTTATGGTTTGTATAAACTTTGATTATACACCATCCTGAATCCTATTCTGCAAAAATAAATAAATAAATAAATAAATAAAATCACAATGTGAACATTTTCTCTCTTTCTCTCTCTCTTTCTCTCTCTCTCTCTTATAGTTTGTATTAGCTGTCACTTCCAAGTTATCTCCAAAAAGTACTTCCAAGTTATCTCTACTCATGTAGAGTATGTTATAGTAGATGATCAGGTTTTGGCCGGGGTATGAGGCCCTGATGTCAATGTCTGAATAAGATCTGAACTTGGGTAAGAACTATGTAAGAATGAAGTTAAGTCAGGTCAAATTCAACTTCTGGTAACTTCATGAACATGTCCATGAGATTTTTTTTTTTTTTTAGCAACAGATGGACATGGTTGACCATTACCTTCTTCCAGGAAGCTTTTGTCCAGGCTTCCAAATTTAGCCTCCAGTCCTGGGATTTCTGGTAGTCTCCCATCCAATGCTAACTATATCTGAGTATGCTTAACTTTTCAAGAACAACCAGGATTGGTTCTGTGCTGCAGTTGCAGAAGAAGTCTCTAATTAAAAGGAACAAATAGCAGATGATGTGGAAGACTTGAGAATAGCTGTCTGTCAGAGTAGGTTCAACTGGGCCAAATAGAAAAAAAGTCTGATCTTGTATAAAGCAGCTTCTTCTGCAGTTGTGTTGCTCCATGGCTACCAGTTTGCCTGGCAATCAATTGCTTATCATTGTTCTCAAGTCCCATGCAAAGCAAGGTTCATGAAATATTCTTTTTTACATTTAAATAAAACAGCTGGTGGCATAGTAGATGGAAAGCCTATATATTATCCTTTTCTCTCTCTCTCTCTCTGTTGAATCAAAATCTGTTCCCCACCATGTGGTAAATGAATGTTCTGCTTTGCAAATAACTTCATACCAAATAACAGCTTGAAGCACGTAGTAGTCACTTGGTTGAGTTTCCTGTTGTTGTTTGTTGATGCTGAAGTTATAATAGCTGTGTTTCCCTTGTTTGCTCTTGCCTAGCTTCAGTGATGTAGGTAATTAATAGGATTATTGAGTGATTCTTTAATTTGCCTTCTGTTTGTTTTGGCTCTGGGATGATAAGAATGTAAAGGAAATAAGAACATTCCAATTTGTGAAGAAAAACATATTTTGACTTCAATTTGGTCGGTCCTCAAAAGCTTACGTCTCAAGGATTTAGCTGAAAACAGATATCCCCATGGAGAAATAACCTGTTAAACAAAATCCATTAACCTCTTTTTTTCCATTCTGTTATGCCAGCTTTTAGACTGTGATGGAATATGCTTGAACATTACCTTGGCTGCCCATTGATTGCAAATCCAGATTAAAATGTTGCATTTATTATATACATTGTATGAAAATGATCAGCAGAAAAAGAGGTTGTCATTTGTTGGACATGCAGGAGGCACTTGATTGGTTATTCATCTGTTTATTTGCCAGAGTGTTTAACAATATACTTAAGCAGGTCAGGTAAAGTTCTAGCAGTTGCATACACATAACTTGCTAAGTTTGGGTAGCGTTAACTATGGTTACTTTAAAATGGGTTAATGCAGAACCATGCTAAGCACATTATTTGAATGCAACCCATGTGTACTTTGTGGGTTGCTGGAGTCCAGTTGTGTTCTATTCTGACTGTGTCTTTCTTCTCAGCTGGCCTATGACCTTCACTCTTGTTGTGCTTCCTTGTGGATCTCTCTTCGTTCAGTACACATCTCTTCAGTAAAATCTTTTAACATTTTGCTCCAACTGAAACACATCTCAAAAGTGGATAGTTGCATATGCCCCTGCAATTCCTAACCCAAAAATTTGAATTTGAAAATTCCTTACAAGGAAGCTCTATCTTTTCCTAATATTGTTTTGTGAAGCATCATGCATATTAGCCTCCTCCAACTTGATAATCTCTAAATGTGGTGATTATAATTCCCAAGGGTAATTATAGGAGTTATTTTAAAGTGTCAGAAAGACCCCAAGCTGAGCAATATTAATGTGCACTGTTTTATAAATAATCAATTAAACAAAATCACCAGAAAGCTTGTCTACGATCAACCAAATCAAGGATCTTCTTGATGGTATCACCAACTTCATGGAATTT